TTATCCAGTTGAGAGTGGAAAGGAAAATACGTGATCATAGGACTTTTTCCTCATGTCTCTTATTAGCTCTGCTGCACCCCAAGTACTGTAGCCCAAGAGGGGCAGATCCTCAGAGTCTGGGCCTCAGATGGGAAGAGAGGGAACTAGGTGTGGTTCTCAACTTGGGGCTCTAAAGTTCTTGTCAATGCTCCTCAGCCACACTGGACTTTCCCAAACGTTGCCAGCCCCAGAGTCCCCACCCTTCCCTGTTGCTTCCTAGCCCACAATGGACCTTATCCAGTAGAACAGGGCTGGGAGCCACACCCAGACAAGGCTGTCTGGCTCTGGGAGGGGTGGGGAGTGAGGAGCCCTGTCCAGCAATGGGCAGGCGGGGTGGGGCAGGCTGGTGGTGTTTTTGTTTTTTAAGATTGTTGGAGAATTTCATACATGCATATAATGTGTTTTGATCAAATCTAACCACCCTTCTGCCTACTGGAATCCCTCCCCTACCTCTTCAGCTCTTTCTCCTCTCAACTCATTGCATTGTGTTCTCTTTCTCTTGAGCCCAGCGAGCTCCCTTAAGTGTTGTGTGTAAGTGCACAGGCTTAAGGCCATCTGTTGGAGCCTCTTAGGACCCACAACTGCCAACAATTCCTCAGATGGGGCCAGACTCTGCAAGCACCTTCCCTGTCTATGCTGGGCTTTAGCCGGCTTGAAGTTGGTCGGTCTTACAAGTGTAGACCTAGAGTCCATGAGGGCAAGAGAGTTGTCAGGTCTGGTAGCTTTCTTGAGCTGAGGAAATCTCCAAATGTTGGCTTTTTAGTTCTAAGCTGCTTAGAAGGGAGTCACAAGTTATAAAAATCTTTCAGAAGTTACCACTATCTCCCATGGTGGTGTTGGCATCCCTCGAGTGGGAAGCACGTCTGGGTGCCTCCCTCCTGTTTGCACAGTCTGCTGCCAGGCAGGCCATCCTGGGGATAGCTGCACAGAGGCAGAGCATCAGACTAGAGAGGCTGGCCTTCAAGCATAGGCCTCACACCAATCACCATGCGGTATTGAATACGATGGATAAGATAATCACTTGATCAACAGAAAGGGTCTGTTTCCTTTTCTAAGAGTAGTGTAAGGATCCATGTAAGAGCATAGAGTATGCTCAGCTCAGGGCCGGGCGGGTCTCAGTCTTTACTACACAAACTGCTAGCAGACTCAGTGTCTGAGGTCTCCTTTTGTACCACGCCGGGTCTTGTCCTACTTTGAAGCAGGTAATAATGATAATTATTATATTTTATAGAAATTGAAATTGAGGCTTAGTGAAGTTAAGCAAATCTTCATTAGCTGTGCAGCCAATAACTGGTGGAGACAGAACTCAAACCCAGGCTGTGGGACTCTGCCCTCTGCTCTGCTGTGCTACTGTTAACCACCGAGAACTTCAGTCTTACACTACTGTGGGATGGGGGCTGCTGTTCTGGGAGTGGATAAGAGGTGGTGGGTGTGCTTTAATAATCGGATCTTCATCTAGAGATGAGAGAAGGAAAATCTCACAACAGAAAGGAAAACCCTCACATGGTCATTTAGAAAAGACTGGACCTTACCCATGTACACGGGATGATTCTCCAAGCTGACTGTCACCATCCTTAGTTGTTCATTCAAATGTGCTCACAAAAGGTCACCACTGACTGTTGATATTTCCTCATAGAAGGAGAGGTGGGAAGGCCTTGGGGCCCCCTTCCATGTATCCAGCCACTCCTACCAACCAACTGTGCACACGTTTGCCCTACTTGTGGGTAGTCTTAGAGAGAGACTAGAGCGTAGAGATGGGAAGGACCAGGGAGGGCAATCCATCTATGAGGCCATGGAGGAATCAGTTCATGTGTGTGCAGACCTTCCTCGTGTGTGGCTGTTTCAAGGCCACCCATTGTTCTGTAAGCCTAATAATTTCATTGGTTTCTCAGCAACGTGAACTTGCGGACTCATACCTCAGAGTGTCACCAGTACCTTAGAAGGAAGGGTAGGCTTTATTCACATCCTAGGAAAAGATTGTAGCAACACCCACACCCAGCCACTCCCAGCCATGCCCACCACACCCCCCAGGCCCAGCAGAGACCCTCGTCGTTCAACGCCATTTCTTCCCGTGCAGTTCTCGTGAGCCCGATGACTCAGTTCACTGCCTTCATCATCCCTTCACAGAGCTCACTTTAAACTCACCTAGGAAGACAATTCGACCGAGAGAGCTTGTGGCGCTCTCTTCCTACATGGCTACCCACTCTTTGTAAATGTCACTGGAGTTTGCTGAGCAGTTAGTGTGTTGGGCATTGTGCTATGTGCTAGGCATGTTGTCGTAATTTGGATGGGATTCTCACTGCTTTGTCCATTCTGCCAATGAGTAAATTAAGCTGGTGGAGCCTAAATAACTGATCATCAAGCAATTTTCAGGATTTCCGTTCACAGCTACCCCATGGTAGTCGCGATGGGGGCCATCTTGAAGGGAACTAGCCATGAGATACCGTCCCTGCCCTAAGGACACAGACTTGAAAGAAAGCAATATGAGATTTGAAAGGGACAGATCTGAGACGCCCGCTACTGCTACTTACTGGCTGAATAGCCAGACATATTTGCTTAGCCTCTGAGCTCTGCCATCCAACTTGTATGGTGAATTGTCAGTGATCAGTCCCACAGGGCTGTTATGAGTATTGTGGTGTCCTGAAGCTAATTGCCTGACATTGAGCAGAGAGCTCACCAGATTTCGACCACAAAGCAGAAACATGCAGAGCTAACAAGACAACCACTGCTAAGCACTGCACACCAGGGTTGATCATCAGTGTGCCAAGAGCTGCCAGGGTGAGGTGAGCTGGCCATCAGGATGGGCTCATGCCAAGGATGTAAATGTGGCTTCATCTTTCATAAGATGGGTGAAGCCCATAGGAAATTTTCATGGGTAACTCAGGATGGGAACTGACTTTAGAGAGTTGACTGTGGTTGTGGCCTCCATTCCCTGACGGCAGACTCTCTCCTTGAAGAGTTGGACATTGGGAGAAAACATGGTGTGGGTGGAAGAGGAAAGGGTAGGGATCAAAAGCGTGGTATGAGAGAGAAGGAAGAGGCCTTGCCTGGACCACCGCCTTCTATGCATCCTTCTATGTGAAGTCAAGGAAGCAGTTAGCTTCAAGTAAAAGGTGGTCCCCAGAACCAACTGCCACAAGGAGGTCATGACAAGGACCACAGATGACCCCTAGTGGTGAATCTCGGGACAGACACGAGCTGGTGGAAGCAGAGCTGGGTAGGTGGCAGACTGGAGGCTGGGCCTCCTCGCACATTCTCTGAGAGCAGCAAACCAGAAGTGCCAACTGCCTTGGTGAACAGCCTGCCTCTGGCTTCCAGGTGAATCCTGGAATGATTGGCACTTGCAAAGGTGGGTCAGCCACAGTGGGTTAGAGGCTCAGAGCAGGCATCTGAAATATAGATCTAAGCTTAAGATTCTGGCAGTGAAGGTGAGTGAATTGGAATCTCGATTTTCTTCACACAAAGGTTGATGATAAAGTGGGGGATTGGAAGATGGCCACTCTGACCCCCCATGCTCTAGGTGACTGCCATGGCCCATTGTTCTAGGTGACTGAGATGACCTGTGCTCACAATGGCTCAGAAACTCTTACCCTCTAATCCTCAGCTTTGTCCAAAAGATGAGACTGTCACTGCAGTGCCATAAACAGGAACAAATTTCAGTTCTAGCTGACATGTAAGATGGCTACTAGACATTTTTTGTGGAGGTGGGTCTTGAACCAAGGACTTTGCACATGCACACTGCCACTGTGTATTCTCAGTTGATAATTTGTCACCTGTCAAGTTGGCCGAAATGACCTGAATTGCTGGACAAACTACTGAAAAATACCTGTTACTTAGCACATGTCCTGTCACTGATGGATATAATGGAAAAATACCAGATGGGATGGAGAGATGGTTCAGTGGTTAAGAGCATGTACTGCTTTTGCAGAGGGCCTGAGATCTGTTCCAAGAACTCCTCAACCCCTCCCTCTCAGACAGCTTACAACTGCCTGGAGATCTCGATCCAGGGGAACTAGTGCGAGTACAACCGCACATGCGTGCGCATGCGCACAACATACAATTTAAATAGGTATTGAAGAAAACAATCTGCTGCATCTCTGGTTTCACTCTTTGTTCTGATTCCGGGAGGTTTGGCTCATACTTTTAAAAATAGGATGAAACTTCAAAAAGACCGATGAGACCAAAAAGCAAATCAGCGCTGGGGCACTCAGGGCAGAGGCACGTAGCTTTATTTACGGAGTTGAGTACAGTGTGGCCGGTGGAGTGGGCTGCCCGCAACAGAGGCAGCTGGGAAAGTACATCTCAGCCAGTGTGCCTGCAAGCCGAGCCCTCCTCTGCACCCCAACCCCACGTGCTCGGCACTAACACCCATCAACTCATTTCCACGGGGAACATGACACAGCTTCTCAAAGACTTCCGAACATTTGCTTTCATAAGCCACAAGGGGAGGAAACCAAGGAGAGTGGGCCGCTCTTTCACCAGGTGACAGTAATCTCATTAACCATTCTTCTTTTTAAAAAGGTTTTATTTATTGACTAGTATACTGTTGCTGTCTTCAGACATTCCAGAAGAGGGCATCAGATCCCATTACAGTGAGCCACCATGTGGTTGCTGGGAATTGAACTCAGGACCTTTGGAAGAGCAGTCAGTACTCTTATCCACTAAGCCGTCTCTCCAGCCCCCCCCCCCATTAACCATTCTTAAAGGAGATACAATGTAGGGTCTTTGGCATCTCATGGAAACTCCCCACATTTACCACCAGACACGTTTGTATAGAAAACCCACCCCCCACCCCCCCCACCACCCCACCCCCCGCCAAACATCAATTCCATGGACAGCTGTCTCCTCTTCCATAAGGTAAAATGCTTGTATGTATGATCATAATCTTTTGAACGTGGTATCTTTAGGCTCATCTCTTTCTATCTTTCACCCTGGGAAGTGATTCACAGGAATTGTCACTCTTGGGAGAGACTCAGAAAAGAATTTTATTTAGTGATAACTGCCATTCAATTACATTAAGCTTCTGGGAGAACAAGTGGGCTCTGCTGAACTTTACTGTGCACACACTATCAGCTTAGAAAATTTTCATTTGAAACACCGCTTGTCCCCTCCTTTGTGAGTTTGCTGCAACATTAAACACGCACAAGTGAGAGCAATCTGCCGTTCCTTTGTCACTGTCTCCCTCTGCTCATGGGTAGAAAGTGCAAACAGTAATCTTGTAGATGCTGAAGGCTTGCTTGTTCTCCCGTTCCAGTGGACATGGTGCTCCTCCTTCCCTGTAAATTGCCACCGGAAGACGCATCACTGCAAATCCAAAGCCCTGACCATCTTTTTCTGCATAGAAAGTTCTTCAAAGGGGGGAGGGGGCCGCAAAACAGTGAACTTGAAGCATACAAAGCCCTGGTTTGTCTAACAAAGAAAAAAAAATGCAACTCAAAACCGAGGTGGGCACAGAAAGTACAGATGGAACAGTTACTAGAAATCTCTTCAGAGCCAGAGTTCATGGAGTGCACAGCCTGGAGCCATGCCTGCTCCTGCAACGCATCCTGGAACGGCACTCCAAGTTTGCTTGAGATTTTTTTTTTCTTTTTTTTTTTTTTAGCATACTCGAAGGAGGTTAATCTGAATTCTTTTAAACTTGCGAAAGCAGATATATTTGACAGCATCATCGGTGAAGCAATCTTTAAAAAAAAGATGTTTGCTTCAAAGTAAAGTAGTCTGTTTTAGAAACATCTCCAGCTGAACCTCTCCACCGCTGGAGGTGACTGACAGTAGACAGAAATTGAAATGACAGGGGTGGGACTGTGCCTTGGGAGAGGAGAGAAGGGGAGAGGAGGGGAGAGAAGGGGAAGGGAAGGGAGGGCTGGAGGCAACAAAAGCAGGACCTGGAGAGAACAGAGAACAGGACAGACAGAAAACTATCCCCCCCCCTTTATTTTGCACCTTAGTACCCATTAACTCCAGTTTTTTTTTTTCTCTTTGAGGTTTAGAGAACAGGCAGTTCATATTTAGTTGTTATAGGAGTCATAGTAAAAATATTTCATAACAAACTCCACACCAGTATGAAAATGCAGAGCTAGCTGTTTTCAAAGGCTTTTCATGTCTCTAATAGATTGGTTGCACAGGAAGACGACGAGAGAGCCTGGACTCTCTTGGAGAAGTTTTGAAGAAAACACCGAGACTCCCAGGTAGCCACAGAAGCCTCTTTCAGGCCGTGCAATCTGTATCAAGTCGCAAGTCAAAATTTTTCTAAAATATAGCCCTTAATATACGCACCAAGTCCGCCCTGTGTAGGATCCTCCCCCCAAGGGAATGAGTGCTTTGAATTTTTTAAGTATTGAAATTTTCCTCTGCCCAGCAAGGTGGGGTCGAGTGAAGAACACTGCTCTCCCACACTGTGGTCGGTCACGAGCCATTAGCATCACAGACACTGTGCCTGGCAGTTAGAACCTGATCATCCTCAACACATCCTCCTGGCTGGGATCTTCTGGAAGGGAATGGAGCTACACACTCCTGAGGCGATACTTTCCGGCTTTCTTCCCCAGAGCAGCCAGGATTCTTACTTTCGTTATCTAGTGATACAGTTTTTACTTGATACAATTTAAACAGACTATTATGCCGGTATCGACTGCATTTTTTTTTCCAATTTAGATGGAGAACTGAGTTCAAAATAGTCAAGGAGGCAGGGTTTCATTATTGCAAGAATTTAAGAGTTCAATTCCTCAATTATTGCAATCCTAAGGCAGGTCCTTTAACTTAAGGCTGTCTGTAACTTAAAGAGGAAGACTGCCTTCCTCCTTTTCCCCTGCAGCTGAACTTTCCTAGGTCAGGACAGAGCCACCATAACCGTATGGAGAGCAGGTACAGAACCTTAGCAACCGCTCCTGTTTCCTGAATACCTTGGTTTTTCTCATCTGCATCACGGTGAGAGCATTGTATTACTGTAGCATTAGCTAGTAAAAAGCATCATCCCCATACTGGAGAAATAACGTCTCCCACCAGGCCACCACGTCTGCTGACTGGGAACACTGTAAATGCATCCTATATCCTGTAGGCTGTGGGGGTAACGTGAGAACCACGTGATATAGGACTGGTGCTGAGGCAGCCAGTGATGAGCAGGGCATCTGGAGCTAAACAATGAGAACACAGGGAGAAGCTGGAGACATGCAGGGAACCCCAAGAGGTGTGGGATCCAGCTACCTAGGCCAGCGGCCCAGCTCCCTTGCTGAGTGTACTAAGATACACACACACTTGTGAGACTAGTTCTCATACTTAACTCTTTTACAAGAATGCAGCAGGGTAACCCAAAGAAGCATGTCACAAGCCACAGGCTCGCATCATGGGCTGGGAATCTGTGTTGTTCCATCTTTACTGCAAGTGTGGCAGACGGCTAGTTGCTTTAACCCTTTAGAAGGGTTAAAGCATTTCGTGCAGAGTGGTCATTGTGGGTGGATTCAAGTGTTTTCCTTCTTGGCTTTAACCCAGAGCTTAACTCCCCAAGGAGAGCCCCACAGCAGGAGACTCAGTGTGATCTAACATCTTTCCTGCAGCTCTGGAGACCCTAATCCAACTCACAGATGTGTCCGTATTCACACATTTTAGTGAAAGAACTGCATTCCAATTCACACTCAGATTCTCAGAGTATGGAAGGGCTCTGGTGAGATGTTCTGAGCCCTAAACTAGCCCGGCCTGAACCCAGCATGAGTCTCTACAGCTCAGAGAATAGGCTGGTCTCTAAGCACCCTCCCTGAGCCGCATTCTTCATCTCTGCATCACATGCTCTTGTGCCAGTGACCTTCCAAGCCACAACACAGTATGGTCAGCAGAGATTACAAAACACATACAGACTTACAGATCTGCCCTGGGTGAGTTACATGCAGACACGAACAGACGTGTGCTTGTCAATCAGGCTGAGTGAAAGCAATCTACTTCAGAAAAACATGCCTTCCCATAGTCTCTGCCCTTAAAACACAAAAGCAGCATGGGCTTGACCTGACCCATCGGATGCCAGAGAGACGACAGACACTGAGGAGATCTTGTGATGTGGCAGGGCACAGAGTTTTCTTTTCTAAGATATACTTGATTCATGGCCAAAAATCATCTATCAGCAGCTGGATCAATCTGGAAACTCTTTTTGCCTTTTCTTTCTTTGGAAAGGTGGACATGCCAGTTCCTATCAATTTATAGGGGGGAAAGGGCTGAGCACGGCCTCAGAAGCAGAAAAAGTTTTCAGGGAGGGAGGGTTCCTTCATTCCTTTTTCCTTTGTCTTAATTTTTTCCCCCTCTGGCGGTTGGCCAGCCAGGTCTCAGCACACAGGAAGAGAACAGGAGCTCACTTAAATCATTTTTGCTGGTACCCAGCCACGCGCTTAGAACTACCTGTTCTCTGACAGAGTTCCATTTCCCTCAGAGCCCGGGCAGAGCTGAGGGAGGCTGCCAAAGACAGACAAAGATGCTGCTACCAGATCCCCTGGATTTTTTTCTCAGCCACAGTGCTACATAATAAATAGAGTCATACTTCAGGACTCTCAGAATCCCCTTCCCTGTGGCTTCCTAAGGGCACTTGCTGACTCTTACCAACACGGGCAGCGCTAACTTAGACATGGGTTAAAGGGACATGGGTAAAAAGGAGAAAGAAGCCCCACAGAGTCACATGAAAAGGTCACATGTGGATGTTACTGCTGAATTTGGAAACATAGAAATTCTACCCCGTCGTTCCTTGGCAAGGGTTACTGTTGCTTGGCCCAGGATGTGGCTCACAGGTGCTAAGATCAGATTTGCCCTCGGTGTTGCTGCTGGGAGACGGTGGTGAATGAATTCTCTGATCAATTCTGGGCCTTAGTACAATGTTCTAGGCACTGCTGCCACTGAGAGTCCTTTTCCTGATTGTCGTTTACTTGAGGGACTTAGAAGAGTTTAGCTTTTTTCTTCATGTCGTTGCGTCTCCAAAGAGGTAACTTGTCAAATTCCTGTATGGACATCCCAAAGATTTCCCAAAATACTTCTGGGGCTAAGTGGCGCTGGGAAGAGAGAAGCAAGAAGCTGTTAGTGCTAACGGCCACACCAATGAGCATCCAGTGCCTTTTCCAGTTTATGAATACAGCTAGCCTTCCATAGTTCTGGCTTCTGCATCCCCAACTCAACCCATTTTAGATCAAAAGTATCCTTCACAAACTGCGTCTGACTTAAACATGTACAGACTGTTTCCCTTGTCATTTTGCCCCAAACAACACAGTCCTGCGATTATGGGCATATCATTTAGGTTGCACTGGGCATTATATGTCATCCAGAGATGGTTTAAGGCATGAAGGAAGGTGCACAGAGACAATGTATAAATAATGTATCAAATAATGTATCACTTTCTGCACCTGCAGACTTTGTCCTCTGTTGGGGGAGGGTGTCCTGAGATCCATTCCCTGCAGAAACTGAGAGGCACTAACATCATTCTGAAGAGCTAGTCAGACTGGGAACAGAGGTGGCTCTCTCTGGTGCTTGTTTCCTGGGCACAGCCAGGTAGTCCTCCACCAGAGGAAACACCTGGCAGACTACTGCCAACGAGGATACAATGCAGAGCTGGGCTGGTGATTGGGAATAGGGAAATGACTTGTGGTACGGGATGTGACAGCATTACTTCAGGTCCTTGGGATGTTGAAATGATCCAGGGAAAATTGGACCCTAGTGACAGTCAAAGAGAAAGAGACTTCCAGGGTGTTTCCCGAGAGAGCCCCAGAGCTTCCTCCTGGTCCAGTAACAGGAGAGAAAAATGTTTGTCTCCCATTGGTCATTCCTCCCGTCAAGCCCATTTTAACACGAGGATAGCCTGGGTTACCGGAACCTTCCACAAAAGCACTGTTGTTGTGTTAGGGAAGGGACTTGATTCTTCCTGAGATGGGCAGACACAAGTTTCTTAACTAAAAATGATTCAGATGGAAAGGCACAAAGATGGACCTCCCATGCCTAAGGAAGCCCTGCTTACGTGTACCCAGATAACCCTTGAAAACAAGGAAGGCAGAAACAGCCAAAGAACAAACATGTCCAGCACAGACCTAGAATACTGCTTCCTCGTCTCTCAGTGGACTCAGCCCAACCTTGTGGCAGATATGGACCTAGGAATATCTCAGGAGTGACGGAGATGCCCACGCTGCATTCCATTGTTAACAACACCAGCATCTGATTTCCAAAAATGTGATGAACCACACTGTGTCTCTGGGGTCACTATAAATCTTACCTCGTACTTTTACACCCTGACCTTACTGTAGGCTTAGATGTAAGTGTGCTTAAACGTAAGGGCATGTGCTTACCGCTGGCCTCTCTGAAGCCAGGGTCTCCCTGCCTTGATGCTGCCTGGGTATGGAAGCATCCTTCTAGTCTCTCTTCATTGTATACACTTTGAGAATGGGCCCTGTCCTTCTTCTCGACACACCTCTTGGTGTCTAAGTACTAAAGGGAACAGTGACTAGGTGTTATGATCGCCATCTCTTTTTTTAGTTCCTTGGAAAGCCTCAAGATTTTAGTTAGTTTTTCATTCTACCTACAATATAAGACTTGAAGAAAAAAAACCCACAACTTTAGAGTCTGGAGACATGGCTCGGTAGTTAAGAGCTCTGGATGCTCTTCAAGAGGACCCAGGTTCAATTCCTAGAACCCACACCGCAGCTCACAGTGGTTTATAACTCCAGTTCCAGGTGATCCACCACCCTCATACAGCATACATGCAGGCAAAATACCAGTGCATATAAAATAAAAATGAATAATTAAAAAAACTCACGACTTTAGGTTTCCTCTGGAAAAAAATACATTTATAATCTTTTAGAGGCATGCTGATGTGTGTGCATTTGTGTGTGTGTGTGTGTGTGTGTGTGTATGTGTGTGCACATGCCCGCGCACGCGCATGTGCACACAAGGATCCTCACCTAAGGTTACATTTTTTGCCTTGCTTACCTCCAGCCGGGTTCTATCCACATCTCTCAGGATTTTGTTGCGCCCTCTGTTGGTCACCATGAGCATCTCATATGGAAATATCTGAGGAAGACAGACAAGGCCTTGCTTAGCACTCTAAGGTCCAGCACACCCATGATAGAGACAGCAACAAGAGCAGCTACAAGGAGCTGCTCATGTTCAGGGAACAGAAAGAGACTCTTACATGCTCCCCCTCTCTCTGCCAGTGACTCATGCTGCACCGTGCCTTGGGAATGCTTTTCTGAATGTAAGCATACTAATGTACTAGGAACGAGACACAGGGTCAACGTTACTGGAGATCTGAAGCAGCAGGCACATAAATTGCCTCTTACAAGATGCTGTTAGGTCACAAGGATGCCTTTGTGCGGGGCTCATCACTCTCAGCTATGAAAGACTTGTGAATTCCAGTGTTCTGGAAGCTGACATACTGAAATAAGTCACTTATCCCAAGTGTAAGCGCCAAGGAGATCAAGCCTTTGGTTTGGTTTGGTTTAAGACAGGGTCTTACTATGTAGGTCAAGCTGGCCTCAAATTCAGATCATTCAGCCTGCCCGCTCCTCCTGACCTCACAGATTAAATGCATGCTCTACCACATCTGCCAACTAGATGTCTCCTGAGACACAGAACGTTCTGGAGCTAGGATGACCAGCCAAGTCAGTTTGCCCAAGACTAATCAGAGGTGGTGCGTAGGACATTTGTTATGAACACTAAGAATGTTCTGGCAAAGTAGGACATATGTGGGGCACACCATCTGCAGCAGGCTTCTGCTGCTCCAATCAGCATTGGACATGCCTTGAAATGCATGTGGCAGGGATCAAGGTCACACCTAGGCAATAAGGTAGAGGGTACTGGCACCTCACTGTGAGCGGAGTACTGTGCACAGTGAGGGTTTAAGTCTACTGACAACGTGGGATTCACGAGAATGGCAGGATGCTTTAAGACAAGCTAGCCTGGAAGTACCAGCCTGGAACCAGGTGGCTCTTACGCTCTGAAGACAGCAAACAGATAGAGAACCAAATCTCTCTATTTACACTTGTGTATGCATGCAATTGTGTGTACGTGCAACTGCGTTTGCCTGCAACTGTATACACATGCAATTGTGTGCAAATGCAAGTGTGTGCACATGCGATTGTGTGCACATGCATGCACACATGTCAGTCACACTTGCCTTTGGTTCCAACATGTTGGGCATGGACACTCCTCGATCCATTCTCACTGCAGGCATGTGGCCATCTGGGAGGGTCTGCAACAGAAATGCTTGCTCAGTGGTGAGCATGACCCCTCAGCGGAAATGCAGGGAGGGCTGTGAGTGTTCCCTGGCTTTCCTCTTGGGTCTCAGTTCCTCTCCCTCACGTCTTCACTAACCATAGATTTCTCAAAGTGAGATCCTTACTGAATAAGAGTGTTAACACGTGATCCAGTTGGGGCAACATCAGGGGTTTGTAACTGTGGGGCTAGTTCCCGATTAAGGCTGCATGGGTGGAGGGACACAGGCAGAAAACCCATCAGGTCTATGATATTTTGCTTCCGTGTCTGTCTGTCTCTCTGTAGCCCCAGCTGGCCTTGAATTCTGAAGCCTTTAGCCTCATAAGTACTGGGTCACAGGATGCACTGCCCCGGCCCCTTATCCTTTTCATTACTTATTTTAATTTGGATTTATCCTCCTGCCTCACGGCCCTCACAGACTCATGAGATGAAAAGGAAGAGTTTGGGAGCAAACTGACTTTTTTCCCCAGAGCCCTGTTTCATTTTACTAGGTGAGAGGGGGGCAAGAAAAGGTAGCAAGCACCTAAGCACTGAGAGACGGCAACTTAAAACCTGTGCCTGGACTGACGAGGCTGTTCACGTCTACCCTGGACAGGACTCACGATAGCCAGAGCAAGAGGGTCTTCTCATGCCTGGCCCAGCTCGCGGCTTGCCCGAAAGGTCTGCAGTGACACCTTGACCTGGCTACCAGACATGCCTGCTCCTCCCAGCTATGCAGTAAGGGTAGCCAACCACAATATTCATCCTCCCAATAGACACCGCTCCCCTGAAGAAGCAGCATGGACCGGAAAACAAATGTTCTGCTGTGGCCAACTCAAGGCACACAGAGCTGTCCATACCTGGTAGTCTGAAAAAGGAAAAGAAAAATCATTAGGGAAAAACCACAAGAAAACCATGGAATCACTCACAGTAATGCTGTATTTTACCACAGCTTCCAAAACATCCCAAAATGAACTATGCTCTTTTCTCACTCCTAAACCACTGGTTTCCTGGAAGCCAGGAAATGCCTGCTTCAACTCCAGGCGTCAGTTCAAGCACAAATTTTCTCTTTGCCACATGCCCCTCTAGGGCAGTGGCTGTAACTCCCTCACTGCTAAGCCTCCTTTGGGAGAGTCCTCAGCATGCAGAAAGGCAATGAATGCATGCTTAGATACTGGTTTCCCATGCTTGTATTGATCTAGAGACTCTGTGCTGGTTTTGTGCTTGCTATTAACTCAGAAGAGAGCTGTGGCTCCACTGTAAGATACACAGAGTACGAACACAAGCAGTGTGCCGGTGATTACACAGCCTCTCCTGAACCTGGGTCACAAGGAATGACACCGTCATGGTCAGCCTCATGTTAGAACCTTACCTCGAACTCCGCCACTGATGTCTCCGTAGCTGTTGTACTGAGCGAAGTCTGTGGAAACTGGCTGCAATGAGGAGAATCTCATCATTGGAAAAATCTCGATGGTGGTCATTTTTATAAGAGTTGGGATTTGGGGGAAGGGAGGAGGGAGGAGAACAAACTTATAAGATCTTAAGAATCCTTCCCAGGCTAAAATCCTGAATGCCACTATGTATCTTATTTATTCTTCAAACATTGAAATCCCAGTGTTTTGCAGGCACTGCTGTCCAGCAGGCTTTTACAGAGCAAGTATTTCTTGTTCAGAGATTAAAAATGTATTTCTAAAGGCGAGACATGGTGATGCACGCCTTTGATCCCAGCTTATCTCCATGAGTTCAAGACCGCTGTGGTCTACAAAGTAAGTTCCAGAATAGCTCGAGGACTATAGAGTGACACCCCCACCTCATTACCACCAAATGTATTTCTGGATATTGTTACATAACTAATTATTCTAGCTTGGTGGGGGAAGGTGATTGTCACCAACTCTCTTTATAGCGATAAGGAATCAAATGATTACTTTTTGCCTTATTGGAAAAAATTGCCTGCTATTTCTTATTTTGGTCTGTAAGACTTACACGGGCCATTCATCTAAAGTCAGTTTCTTCTCCTTGTAAAAGAGGTATTTTATTTTGCTTAACTCAAAGGGATTTGCCAAGTGGCTAGGCAGATGGCAATTTGCCTTATATTCGATCACCAAGATCAAGAGATTATTCGGGTTGGCACAATGTTTAGTGCATAAAGGTTCCTGCTCAAGCCTGGTGAGACTGAGTTTAATTTGCAGGAGTTACATGGTGAAGGGAGAAAACTCCTGCAAGTTGCCTTCTGACCTCTATACATGTAACGGGTCATGCATGCATGCATGTCTACACACACACACACACACACACACACTGGCATGCATATGAAAGAAATAAAAATGTAACAAAAATAAGAATACATAAAAAAGATTAATCTGATGATGTGCTAGTACAGAAATGAAGGGGAGATACATACAGACGCCCTCGACTGAAGGAGTCTTACCCGGTGAAGGCCATTCTTTCCGTAACCAGGGAGAGATGCAGTTTTGGATGACGGAGCATGTGAAGCTGAATGAGAAAAACAGGAAGAGTATTTTCTCGTGCTTCAGTGAGATTGCCAGTGCTCTTATACAATTAAAAGTCAGGAAAAAGAATTCGAACGATATTGGGTCCCAGTGTTCACAGTACACTGCCTTCTTGGGGAGAGAGCAGGGGTGGGGGGAGGTGTGATCATCTCTAGGAGAGGCTGGAGGAGGAAGAGCATAAAGTCCAGTTGGAGCTGAAGCGAACGGTACTCCTGTGATTCCCCGCCACAGTTATAAGCTGGGTGTGCCTTTTCTTTTGAGTCCTCAGTCCTAAGAACACCGTTATTTCCATGTTATAGGAGGCAAAAATAGGATCTGAGAAAAGATGCAGAGCAGGGATTTGAACCTAGGGATATGTGGGTGGTGCACTCCAGCCCAGAAGCCAATAAGATTCAACGATGGTACAGCCCATCAGGGCTGGGTTCCTAGAAGGCCAGGGCTACAGAATTTGCATCTGTCTGAAAGGAGGGGCTGCTGTGAAGGGAGCAGACCACCTATAGCTTAATGCCTCTGCATCCCTGGACAGGACAACCTTCTATAAATTGTGTATTGACCTGTGTAATTGTAGCATTACCTACTCAGGGAGAACAGAGGCTTACACTCAGAAGGGACTCCAGGGGTTCAAAGAGCTCAGAAGCTGGTCCCATCTCCTGGGTAACAATCCAGCCTGTGCCTCTATCTTTTTGCAGGCAGGCAGGTGGCTGGGCCCACCCTTAAATCACAGAGGGTGGGGGAGGGGTGCTGCTCACCCGAGTGGAGGGGAGAGTCATAGCGACTGGCCAGTAGGGACGCTCTCTCTCTGCTCTCCTTCTCCATCTCCTCCTTCAGGATCAGCTGCCCCAGGCCTGAGTTGAGCTATTTGCAGGAAGGAAAATGGAAAGAAACAAGGGTCAGTCATAAACTATTGTTTTTCCTGCTCGGAGCCTGTGGTTCCTGAAGACATAGGACAGGCTCTAGACTCTGAAGCCCTGTTAGCTTTTCCAGAGCCAGGCTCTACATTAAAAGGTGGCCTTTCTTCTTCTGCCCTCCCGTAAATGCCTCAGCATGTGTGAATTTGATGTTTTTTTGGTTTTGTTTTTGGTATTTTTGTTTTTTTTGTTTTGTTTTTAATAGGTGGGAGAGATTTTGTAGATTGGGAACTCTTAAACAAGAAATTTCACTATTTACCTTAAAAACCATAAAAAGGAATATATGCTCACACATATTTTAGAAAACCCAGAAGAAACTGTGGTTCCTACCCAGTGTATTCTGATTTATTCCCATTGCTCACTGTGCTGTACACATCTCAGCCACACCAGGCTTGCTCTCCGCATCCTCTCCCCTGTACTCTTAACGCCATGTGCAGTTCTGGCACCTTTGGAGTAGACCATTTGAAGGGACCAGTTTAGGACTGGATAGCCCTCTGGGGCAAGAATAGATAAAGGGAGCTGGGGGACTGGGCAGCTCTCAGTGGCAGACCAACTCATTCCAGATACAAATCCTGTCCAAGTTCTGAGGAGATTTGGACTAATGTCACCCCAAGGAAATCCCTCTAGCAAGACCTGCATGCCCCTGAGTACACACCACCCTGGCCTGCAGGATTCTTCCACATCCTTTCAACCAAACCGGTCCACCTGTACACCTACCCCACAGTCACGGGCTCCCTGCATTCTGTGACCCTCTAAACCTCCAGCCTCACCATTACCACCTCGAATGCCACCGGCTGCCTGCCATGTCTCTCCTAATGAACTGTGAGCCCTTGAAATCCACACGGTAGTTATGTACAATAAGCAAATACCAGGAGTCAAGAGGAAGTAGAATTGAGGGTGGCCTCAAGGACAAACCTTCATCAACTGTTCCTCTTGAAGCTGCCGGCGTCTCAGAAGCTCCTCCTCATCTTCCTCTTTGCCACCAGATCTGCGTCTCGAGTCAGTTCCTAGTTCCACAGTAAAGACAACTTCTCACATCAGCCCCACGACACAGGAACCTCAGCCATAGTCTGGTTGTCTATCAAGCTGGTAAGGTGTGCAGAGGCTTTCACATGGTGGAGAGAACAGTTCCACAGGAAAAAACGTCCACCACCAAGTCAGCACTGCGGCTGCTTCCCAGAGCTCCTCTCATGGGCTAGCTTGGTGTCATGTAGCTAAGCGGGGATCTGGGCCTTTCAACACCTGTCTGTTACCTTGACCTGGGCTTGCAGTGGCAACTGAGTCTCAAGCATCAACATTAACCACAGGCCAGAGCTCCTTACAGCAGGTGGAGAGGGACCTCCAGCTATTATCATCTGACGGCCAGAGCGAGGGTCCAGCCCGTTTTTTTTTAACTAGCAGGGAATCCAAGCCCATCTATATATTTACAGCTTGCTCGGACAGTCGCTATCTTGTGGCAAGTTTCTCAAACTTATAGTCCCCTCTTTCCCTGCTTTGCGCTTTTTAAAAATAAGCTGCCACCTTTTCTTCTACCCTTACCCTTCTTCTCTTAACATTAAAAAGCACATTGTCTGTTTCTTTTAAAGTCAAGGTCCAGTTTTTCTTTCCTCACGCAGTAAAAATCAGTCACGAGGGAATTTTGCTACTATTAAGCAAATACAGCTGGAAGTGCTACATTGAAACAACGTAGTGGTCAATGCATCGATTCCAGGCTCCCAGAAGGAGTCTGTCCCAGCCACTGGAAGGCTGAAACAAGCTTTGCTTTCCCTAAACTGATTAGGTAAATCTGGCTGAGGGAGCAGGACTGCTTTCTAATCTAACAAAAGTAAACAGTTACCGAGAGTTGTACTTTTTGCTGTTTTGACGTAAGGAACAAACACATCCCACACTTTAGGATTCTAAGCAACCTCAGACTATTTGCCCTTCCTGAAGGGCAAGGCTGACAGATGTTTCACTCTTAGAAAAGCCAATGTGGATTTTCTCTTTAGTTTATACTAATAAAAATATTATCTACTAAAATTTGCAATCAGATATATCTCATCAACTGAATTATAGAATATCTGTGAATAATGAGAATAGCTTTCTCTTCAACTATTTCTATAAATGTTAATTGTTTTTAAATGAACTTTTATTGCCTATAAAAAATTATTGTAAGAGAAAGTTAGTCTGATGAGGAAGGTTAAGGTTTTGTGGAGCACTGAAGGCCTTTCAGGTTGTCAGAAGTGAGGTTAGTTGAAGCTTTGTAAGGCTGATCTGATTTCCAGTCTAATCCATTTCTAGAGGCCTGAGTGATTTCACTACTGACAAAACGGTAAAGACACAGACACAACTGGAGAGCATAAAGCAAAGAATGACATTTCCAATGCAACATTGGAGCACAGGATCATGGAATGACAGATGTAAACTCATACACAAGTTATATACCGGAATGTCTAATACAGCCCTTCTTAGTGGATCGGATGGTCTTGCCTCGGGGGGGGGGGGGTGGTGGTGGGCGGGGGGGGGTGTCTCAGTGTTAAGGCTGCTTTTTGTTGGGGAAGGGAGCCCAGATACAACCTAAAACAAACTTAACTGGGAAAGTGGAGTCCCCAAACTTCACCCACTCTGTTCTCCAGGGTACTACCCTGGCCAGTAGCCTCTGATCCAACTGTGTTCAACAGGCAAATGATCAGTCCTTCCAAGCCACCAGTTATAGACCAGTTCTGGATCCTTGTGTACAGCCAGGCCATGGGGGCAGAGTTTTGTAACGTTTGAGTATTTTGGGTGCACACTACTATCAGTCATTCTTCTCACTATCTACTCATTAGTCTACATACTTTTCCTAAATGACTCCGTGACATTTCTTTGCATTTTTTTAAAGCAATTCATTTTGCACAGTCCTAGGCATTTGTCTGTTTGACTTAGCTGCATCGGTTGCATACCTACGGCGGCAAGTGAGGGGGGACCCGGCCAGTGGTCCGTCTCAATCTTTGGTATCTCGTTGGGATCTGGTGCCTGCGCTGCTGGGAACTTGGAAAACTTGATGATATCTTCTGAGGCCTTGCTCTGGGCTGCCGAGGCAGCTGCATCTAGGTAGGAACCGGGGATGCTTAGCTGTGGGTCTGTGAGGCAGTGGTGGTACCACCCCACAGACATGATTCTCCATTCTTCACTGAATGCTCCAGAGCTAGAACTCTTAACACCTCTGCCACCATAGATCAGGACACTCCTAATCGGTCTCTGATTTTTAAATACTCTCGGAATTGGAAATTTTGATAATTAGAAGTTTGAGTTCTAAATTTGAAATTAGGCTCTAGCATTAATTCTGGGGGGGCGGGGCAGGGGGGCGGAAGCCGCAAATACACTAGTCTAGTTTGTCTTCATTCTCTACACGCTTTGTGTGGTTCTTTGACTCCTAGGAGAAACTGAAATGGAGAAACGGACTTCTGGTTTTGCAGGAACTCCGTGTGGTTTACAATGGTCACCCAGACTTACTGCTCTGTTCTGGGGTCTGTTCAAACAAGTGAAGACCAGAGCGGCCCAGGCAAGTGACAGTAGTCACAGAGTTCTCAGTGGCTATTCTTAGTGGAGAACTCGCCAGCTTAGAGCCCCAAAACTAACCACAAATTGGAGGAAAACAAATCGGGTTAAATGGTCAGTCCCTGATTCCAGCTGACTCAGCAAACTGGCCTGGCATTGCAAAACGTTTATAAGGCTGACGTTAAATTACTATTCTCTGGGTCTCACACATTTTAAAATCTGGAAATAATGTTTTGGATTTTTTCTAGTAAACTTCTAACCTTCGACTTGCGCGTGTGACTTGACCAAGGTTACTCAATGATAAGGGGTAAAGCCTTGGCTGGGTAGGAAGCAGTGTGTCTCAGAATCATTAACTTAGTAGGAACAGTATCTTGGCTTAGGAAACACTGTGTCTTCCCTGGAGGACTCAGTGTGTTAGCATAAGACTGGACTTCTATGTAAAAATAAAGAAAAGTGACTTTTTTTTTTCCTTGCAAATGCTTCAAGAAACGAGTATCGGTTTGGGATGTTACATCTTCTTTTTGGCATGGAGCAGGTTTTGCAGAACACACCTTGGAAAGTGTTGCTCTAGCAGCGCTACTGATTGATTACTCACAATAGTTTGAAAACAAGGACTCACATCAAATGAACAAAGCCTTTCCTTCCACAGGAGGCTCCACACTATCCAACTTCCAGGACTCTTATCTGACCAGCTAGGGAGCTTGGCACTGGAGATTTTAATATTTACAGGCATCTCTAAACTGCTAAATCTAACTGGGTATTTTACTGTTAAAGCAAAACAAAAAAAGCATGATTTCAAACAGTACTTACGCATTAGAATTGGTGAAGTCAGTAGTTAGACATTCACATGTTAATGAGTGTGTGGGAAGACATTAAACCATAAAAAAACAAAAAAACAAAAACAATGTTAATAAACTTAAAATGCAAGCATGGGATGTAAAACCTTAAATAAAAAAGAAAAGGAAAACCAAACAATACACACATTTCTTCTTCCTAGAATGTTGGCCTACAAGTTTTTCCTTGTGTATTTTCAGCTAAGATTGGAATCCTTACTTATTCCTGACTAGATTTTATGGCCAGCCTTCAATCTTTCAGACATAGTATGCAACTTTCAGGACTCACTGGTCGGCTGTCTATCTAAGCTACAGATTTATGGCAGATGAATCCAGAGAGGCCTGATAGTAACAGGAAAAATGAGACTCATTAAAAAAAAAATTACTCTGATTTCTTGGATTTAAAAAAAAAAAAACCTATGCTCACAGAAAATAAAAACAGAATAATAAATCCACCTTGATGATTCTTCACGTCTAGAACCGTAAGAGACACATTTATCTAAATCACTGGTCTTTGCAGACGAGAACACTAAACCATAGAGACTTTCTGCCCATGAACCACACAGCCATATCTGCAGTGTGGGACAGAACCTGACTCCTTCAGCTTGTTTTCCTGTCTACTATGGGGCTTGTGTCTTGTATGAATTTTTGCAGGTGGTTTATTTTTAGTAGCTTTAATTATTTGAACTAGTTGCAAGTTCATCGGATTTATTTTAAAAGTTTGGTTAAATTATTTAATGGCTAAAAAAAGGTTTTTAGGCTATTTGTTGTCCTATGACAATCCCTCGTTTTTATGGACAGTAGGATACAGTTTGACGGGACCAGAACCAGGTTAGAAGTTTCCTGACTGAGCCAAATGCTGTCTACCAGGTGAATGGCTCCTAAGTCAATATCTGTGTCCTGTCAGATTATACAGCATAATATGCGCTGCGCCCCAGGTTCAGTCATTCTCAAAGCAGCAGCAGGCAAGCCTTTCGGGAGACAGCCAAGAGGAGAAGAGCTGACTCAGCCACTTAAAAGCTAAGGAGGAGAGCGAGTTTACCATGCTGTTTGTAGATGGGTGGTTTTCGGTAAATGTTGATCCCTTGATCTGTGGAAATGAAAAGCAAAGATGTGTGATTATGGGGACCAGCTCAGAAATGGAGAAACAAAACAAAAACAAAAGCAACAACAGGCAAACAAAAGAGTGAACCAAATCCAAAGACTCTCAAACAAACAAACAAACAAACAAACAAAAAAACCCCAAAGGGCCAACCTTTGTATTACAAAGACTGAGTACACTGGGGGGAAAAAAAAAGACCACAGAAACGAGCCAGGTCTACACATAAGTGACGTAGAAGCCTTCGTGACACAGCACAGCACACCAGAGAGGTGCCTCTTATTTGCGAGCCATTTATTTCACATTCAGACTTCACTGAACGTGGGATCTAAACAGGAAACGATGCACGCGGCGGAGACGCTGGGATGGTGAGGACGACATAACGAGTTTGGGGAGAAACAATCCCCAAATTGCTACTGTCTAGAAATTGAGCCGCCAGGAGTTACTGGCGGCTCAATTTACTATTTCACTTAATGAATGAAGCAATGCAGAGTGACGTGAGGGACTAAGACTAAACATAGCAACACAGGGTGATCAACAAAGTCCTAATCCAGATGGGCCAAGTTTGTGTTAAGAAGCCAGAAAGAAAAGAGAAAAGCGGTGTAAAAAATGCTATCCCCACATCTGCAGAGACGCCATCTGATTATGCCACCATTTCACTTTGACTAAAGGCGCTCATCCCCACCCCCACCCCCAGTCTTAGGCACTGTACCTTGGAGGGGAATTCTTTACATGAAAAACTTCAAATGTATGTAACAGGTTTTCAAGATTAATGGGAAAAAAATGTTTTAAAGGAAGTCCTAGTTAAGTGGTTCCAATCTCACTCTACCTTCCTGATCTGCTGAGTATATATTTAAAAGAAAAAAAATGAATAGAGATTCTAGCTAGGCATAGCTATGGGAACCTAGTGGGTAATTTATAAATCTTCTGGTGGCCCCAGATGGCTGGTTGCTCTCATGGACTGAGCTACACTGGATGGGCTTTCCAGTTTCTGATGGCAAGCTGTTATTTGAGCAGCTAACACTGTGACTACCAGGCTAAAGCTTGCAGTGTAGAGCCTAAATTGCAAGATACTTTTGTGGGCCGTGGAGGTGACCTGCTTACTACCTAGTACAGAAACAATGCCCAGCTGAGACAATGTTACAACTCTTAAGGAGTATGCAGTTCAGTCTTCAGGATGAGAATATAGCTCCATGGCTCTTAGGATACTTTGTTAATGACAGTGAACCACAATCTGACATCCTAGAAGGCACAATTATAAAAGTTAAAATCTTAAGCAAAAAACCCAGCCACTCTTGTTGATCGTTACCCTCTCTGCCTCCCAGTCTCAGAGGGCTCAGTAGAGCATTCACCCAGGTTTAATCCCCAGCCATGAAAAAAAAATCATTGAAAACGTAAGCCTCCAGTTTGATCCCATCAATTTTAATATAGACCCTTTGGAAGGCCAGATCCTGCAATTTAGTGTTTGTCGACCGTGTGTATCTCGATGAAGAAAAATGAGAAATGGAGACAAACGAGGTAACAAAGCTACATTCTACACCGTGACAGGACACCAAGACACACTGTGTCAGCTCCTACCTGGAACATGGAAATGTTTAGGGGCCTGAGCGTAAGTTGGAGTTAGAGGGCGGCTGTCGGGCCGGTAAGGGAGAGGGGAGTTCCGGCCGCTGGACGGCTCAATGCCTCCAATGAGAAGAATGGAGAAAACAGAATGAGAGAGGACGGTAAAGGAAAGCCAGGGCATCAAAACTCAACACAGGGAGCTGCAGGAAGGGAACGTCAGGAGGGCGAAACAACGGAAACAAACTCAGTCTGTCAACTTGACTTGCAAGGGTGGCATCAGGTTTAGTTTCCAAAGGGGAGATTTGAGCTCGGGTAGAACCAGGTTCAAAGCAGCCAGCAGCCAGGGAAGCACCATTCCAATGGCATGCAGTGGAGGTCTCCACAAACCGATCAGATGCTAAGTATGTGGGAGGAGGGAAAACCACTGGCTGCTGATTCAGGACCAGTTGTCAGGTGCTTAAATCCCAAACGTGTAGGTGGGTGGGATGTGCAGGCCCCAGCTCCAGGTAGGACTGCTTTCAGGCACAATGAGAGGGGCTGGCCATTAGAATATGTTTCTCTTGAGGCTAAGGGTAGGTGCCTTGGTGGTCACTCAGTCCTTCCCCTCATGGTATAAAGCGGTCTCATGGCAGGCTGGGTTTGTTTACCCTGCTCTCAAAGATACAGATGGAGTCAGAACCCTCCCTGCCACACACCCAGGGACTGCTTAGATCTCTCTTTCCATTGCTCTCTCTGGCTAACGAATCAATCACTAACATACTAACTGAACATCCAATCATGACCAACACAAATCAGGGAAGGAGAGAGATTCCTACCTCTGCTTCTCTGATCTCCCTACCCAGGTATTGCTACACTCACAGGACTGATGTACAAGCTCAGAGAGGAAACTCAGGCTCTGTCAGTTCTTCAGGAAGCTCCTTAGAGCACAGAAAAGGGCCCCAGGTGAGCTGGAAGCAATGGTCGAGAAATCCAGGATATCACGGGCTAGCCTGTGACAAGGTTACAGCACCGAAAGCTGTCCTCAGAGGAGACACTGTTCGTAGGGCATGAAGGGCTGGATCTTGGCTGCAAAATCCTCAAGTACAGACAGGGACACACAGTCACACCCTTCTTCCCTTCTGTCCACAGGAATGCAGGGAAGAACGTATGCAAAACTAGGAAATGAGCTCATCTGAGCAAGCCTCGTGTCCTAATAGAACACGGCAGAACACCGAGGACTACCAAAAGCTATGGTGTTGTCTGGAACTTTTGCTACCTTGCCTAAGCTCCGGGAATAGGCTGTGCTACCAGCCCCCACGCAGCTTCCCTTGAATCCACGGATAAAAGACAGAGACACCCACATTGTTCATTTTCAACTTGCTTTCTGATGCAATTGCTAGGCGCTACTTATTTCCTATTTGAAAAAGCGTGGCCTTATCAATGTTCCTATCTTTGCACCTCTCCAGTTGCCCTAAACTTTAGTTGCTCAGTTACATCTAGTCCCTGCTAAACATCACCAAGCGCCTGCCTGTAGGAGCAGCCACAGGCCGTACCTCCTCCCAAGATCTCACATGGATGCTTGGCTTTTCTCTTTCTGAAACATGGCAAACTCTGTCTCTCCTCTCCTTGCATCTGTCTCTTGCCTCCAGGGACTCAGAAGTCCCACCTATCCCTTCTGCCCAGCAATTGGCCCATGGGTTCTTTACTGACAGATCATGAACCAATTGGGGAACAGGACCTTAGCATCAGAACTGCCCCTTCACTGTGAGATTATTAATGTGAATTGCTTTCACTTCTGTTTCTAGAAGTGTTTATTCAAGATTCAACTCTCTTCTCTAGGAATATGATTTTCAGTTTTATAAGCCACTCTGTAGGCTGCCTTTTCGTTTGCTTGGTGGTGGCCTTTGTAGTATAAATGTTTCATATTTGTTTGTTATTTTAGGCCCCAGGATTGAGTCTGGGGCCTTTGGTATACTCCAGTCGAGTGTTCTACCCACTAAGCTAATTATGTCAAGGAAATCATAGATTGTCAGAAAACAGCTTTGGCCAACTTTTTCAAATCAAGCCGTCCCAAATCTGGCTAGCAACGCATGAAAGAAGTTGTTTGCCAGGGCTTTCAGATGGGCTGAGTATTTAAATGTCTCAGTACAGACAGACATTTCTAGGTCACCCCAAAACAGACATGAAGTAAAATGTCACTGTCTTGAAATAGGAAAAGCAATAGCTACAAGATATGCGTAGTAACCAGGTCGATAAGGCCTTCCTCTGCCTTAACCTAAAGCTTTGCTAGATTCCAAAGGTGGGCTCAGAGGTCATTGGACCCTCTGCATAGTGTTTCCCAATGTGTCCATCAGACCTCCTCTGTGCCTTTACCACCGCTCACCTCTTCCACTGGGCACTAGGATGGGCGGCCAAACCTGGCTCATTGGGTTACCAGAACTGGGACTCTAAACTCTATGACATAAGAATTCACAGTAACTCACACACCACAGTGGTTCAATGAGGGAATACGTTATCTGGTAGACAATGTTCCAATCTCTAAGGCCACAAACTACCAAAAAATTGAGCTATTGGGGTAGTTGTAAAATTCTAATAATAAAATAGACACTCAAAATGATGACTTCTGGGCTGCAGAGATGGCTCAGTGGTGAAGAGCACTGTCTACTCTTCCAAAGGACCCGAGTTCAATTCCCAGCACCCACGTGGCAGCTCACAACAGTCTGGAATTCCAGTTCCAGGGGATCTGACTCCCTCACAGAGATATGCATACATGGCCAAACATGCACATAAAAAGATAAAATGAAACAAAATCTAAAAACCACAATTCCACTTTGGATGGGGAAAAAAAAAAACAACCATGGCTGTTCTAAGGCAGACTCTGTTTTGCTTAGCACTTAAGCTAAGCGCATGCGCAAGGTAAGCGCATGCGCAAGAGAAAGCATCCCATTTGAAAGGCACATGCGCTGTCATCACTGTCCACAGGCTAGTTTTCAGTGATCTCAGTTAACTCAGCAAAGAAGCCACTAGCACATTTACTTTTCTCATTCTAAACTGTTAGCGGCTTCCTTGGCAGTCTAATAAACCAAGCCATTAGTCCTGAGGAGACCACCACTCACAGGATTCTCTCTTTATCTGATCCAGACATTTTCCTCCTCCGCTATATTCTCTGTCTTTGTGCCATGAGAGCGTTAGTGACTAAATCTAAAAGGGGCGAGCTTGCTGGAGTGCTGCCTGGCTCTCAGGACGGTCGCTCATCTTCTAAACTATGACGGTCTGGGGTGGAGCTCAGTGCCGGCAGCCTCTAGATTTTTAGGACAGAGTTTCAAGATCGTCTCTTCTATTTTCAGGTAACGATGAGTATATGTTTACCTCATAGGAGCACTATCTAAAGCAGCGGTTCCCAACCTTCCTAACGCTGGGACCCTTTAACACAGCTCTTCATGTTGTGCTGACCCCCAACTACAAAATACTTTTATTGCTACTTCATACCCGTAATTTTGCTGTTATGAATCATAATGTACATATCTGTGTTTTCCAATGGTCTTAGGTGCCCCTGAGAAAGGGTCGGTTGACCCCTAAAGAGGTCACCACCCTCGGGTTGAGAGCTGCTGATGTATGACATAGGAAGAGAGATTCCTTTCAAACAGCCTTGATCTATGTAGCCTTCTTGATCACAGCCTTCTGAGCATGGGGTGCAATGTCCAGGAGACGTTAAAAGCAGAAGGAAGACAAGAAAGGCAACCAACAGAGCCCAGGCTTCTGCTGATCTCTAAGCACGAAGCTGTCTGAGTGGTCCAATCAGGACTTTCCAATACAGAAAGAGACCACAAGGCTGAGGGACCTTTCAGAGCATGTCAGGTTGCTGTCAGAGAAAATGGATGGGAAAGTCAGTGAAGCAGGCACAGGCTGTGAGAACCGCCAGCTCTATACCATGCAAATGTCTCCAACTCAGTGAATCCCAGGGGCCTGGGCTGCATGTGTCAGAAAGGAGACCCAGGAAGTAGACTTGACCAACCAAAGGGTGGGCTCCCACTGCCTGAGTGGCAAAGGCCTGCTCTGTTTTTAGTCATGCATTCCTGGGATGGTCATCTTTCTGTGAGGCCTCCCTGATGCATACGTATTAAAACAGAACCCCACACCACCACCACCACCACATGGTAGCCAGCTAAGCTACAAGATCAAAAGTAAGGCAAAGTCAGGCATGATGGCTGATTGCCTACAACCCCAGCTCAGAGGAGGCTGAGGCAAGCCTGGGCTACATAATGGGTTCCAGGCCAGCTTGGGCTACTTCATGAAACACCGTCTCAAAAAAGAAAACAAAAATTAAAATGCACAGACAATGTCCCACTTGAAAGATATTTATGGTGCAGTCCCTCCAACAAGTAAGTTCCCTCCATTCTGAAGTCCTCAAAGGTGGGAAAGGTTTCCCATGTACACGGGAACATGCTTTTCAAAATAACTGAGAAGTGATTCCTGGGAGGATCTGGAAGTAGCCAGTCACTCACTACCTTAGGCATTCAAAGCTGTAACCTTGAACAAAAATCTCATCTGATCTAAAAACTGAGGGCAATCTGTTGTGTCTGTTATATTTCATGTATGAAAACGACTCCATATAAATTAAATACAAGCATATATCTAATAAAAAAACGAAAGCGATAAGTAAACGTTTTTAAGTATGAAGTCAAGGTCATGCTAATTCCTTTTGGTCCGCTTCCCTTTATAATTTAAACTTGTGACATCTGACTACATTTAAATGTCAAATGCAGACTCAAACAGAAAGAACAGATTTTTGCATTTTGACACTGAGACTCATAGAACTAATACAATTTTTGTAACTATTTGATGTTTCTACTGGAGAGCAAACTCTTCGTAATTTTATTATTTAAATGACTGAAACAATCTTTCTATCAGCCTTAACAAGAATGCAATTTTCTGGCTAAAATTTTGCTTTCACATTTAGAGTACATGCAGATTTATCCCAAAGTGAGCATATCTAATCTGGAAAAATCCCTCTGGATACGAAAGGCCTGCAGTCTAGTCCAGGCTCTGGCTCTTCCCAGTTGTGAGCCTTTGGTCAACTACTTCATCAGCAACCCTGATCCTAGCTCTCCTGACTAGGCCGACATCACAGGAATGTTCTGAAGAGTATGTGGGATGATTTCAATAAAAAAAATACTTTAAGGTCTAGAGATGTGTTTCAATCTGTAAATGTGCACATAAGTCCTATATTTGATCCTCAGCACCACATAAACGGGGTCTGGGCACACAGACTTGTGATTTTCGTCCATAGGGGAAAGGCAAGGGAATCAGGGGTTCAAAGTCATTTGCTTCCACATAGGGAGTCTGAAGCTAGCCTGAGCTACCCAAAAGTACTGACCACCATGCTCATGATTGCACACTGACCCTAGGACACCTTATCTCATACACCTAATGGCCCAGGAGACAGTCCTCATCCTTATGATTCATACCTGAGACAGTGTTTAAAAGGATAAAGTTCAGTTCAAGGTCACATAGCTGTGTGACAGAGATGATATTTAAATCCAAAATGTGAGTGTCCCAGACTCAAGGTGGGCCACTGACATTCTCCAAGGTATTGTGCTTTTTGTATACACGTTGTGTGATTTTAAAAGACCTATTTAAGAAAAAGCATCGTTCTGAAAGACCAAATGCATCATAATCAGACAAAGCAGTTTGTACTACTTTAATGGGTCAAAATGAGAAATTTTACCTTGATTTGGTCGAAAACTGCCATATGAGGCTCTCATTAAAATACATAGCTGAAGCTTTTTCTCAGTAATTTATGGTTATATAAAAATTCTTTTAAAAAATAATAACCACGACACTCAGATATAGAAACCCCCCCCCCATATTAACTAACAATAATTAGTTTAAATAGCCAGTCAAGACTTCTGGAAAGTGTTGTGCCTACCCCAAAAGTTTTGCTAATGGCAAATGATATCTTCAGTCACATCATTTTCTTTCTCGGGGGGGGGGGGAAGCAACTTATCTTTATGTGCAGATTTGTCTACATGAAGGTATGTGTACCATGTGCATGCAGTACCCACAGAGACCAGTAGAGGGCAATAGCACCACCCCCAAACTGGTTGTGAGCTGCCATGTGTGTGCTGGGTACTTAAGCCAGGTCCTCTGCAGTAGCAGAAAATGGCTTAACCACTGAGCCGGTGATAACTCCACACTGAATTCCTAGTACATCTACACTTCAGAAGTCAGCCATTCAAGAGTGACCTAGAGAAGCATTCTGTCTACTTAGCTACTCAGCAGAGGCAGATGCGCAGGCGCTGTGAACTGGGGACACAGAACCACTGATGACCATTCTCAGATCCGTGCTTGCCTCCACCTCCTGCTTTTTCTGTTGGCTCATGTAATTCAAATCAAGACAACACAGGAAGTTAGCAACTCTCTGGGGATTCTTCACTTAAAAGACCTTTCACAACCTGCCAATGGTTTGTCACCATGAAGACAACTTTTCACTATTTTTTAATCCTGCTGTGTTTTGCAGAAACATATCACAAATGAAACCCAAGAAAACACCCATGTATATATGTATATATTATATTTTGCCAAGGACGCATACAAAGACAAAATAATAATATATATTTTTCTAATCGGCAGGAGAGAGATCTTAGTTTCTAAGTACACACCCCCATAGCTTTATACAGAGCTCTTGGAAACGATGCATCTCTTGGAAAGCGAGATGCCATGCCAGTTCTAAGGCTGCAGTTAGAGGCGGTGAGGACGCGGGCAAGCATGCTGATGGGTAGGAAGCTCAGAGGCTCTAACTCTTGGAGATACACCTTATTAGCCTTGCCGGGAGCTAATAAATCTCCACTACACAGGCCAGGCACTTGCCACCTGGAGGCCTGCCTCCTTACCTTTGACATGGGGGAGGAAGTGGTGTCGGAAGGGGGGGTTGGGACGGGAGTCGCTGTGGGTGGAGCTGAAGCTGCTGGGGCGCAGGGGGGACCACCTGTGCACACCAGGAGACAAGAGCTCTGTGCGCGGGGAACCAACCAACCAGGGCAGGGCGAGGTGGAAACAGAAAAGAAGAAAGAAATTAACACGGGAGCTAGGGAAGGTGCCCTAGGTGGGAAGGACGTGAAGAGCGTTAATCAGGTATCTGAAAAAGGAGGAAGGCAAGAGGATTAGGAACGGACCTGTGGGAGGGGCTAGGCCAAGGGCGGAGTCTGCAGACAGCCCCTAGTGGACACAGAGTCAATCTCTGGGAATAAATGGCTTGTTGAACATGCTTTCCGGGACACTGTCAAGATAATGCCAGCTACACAGCACCAGGACTGAGCACAGCACATAGACAGACTCAACAGCTGCTTTTATAAAGTGTATTCAACAGATCAACCCTTGGAAATGACTGCAGACAGACAGCGGACAGTCGTGTCAAGAAAATTGAAGAAACAAACTTAAATACAAAGGTTTTGTTTTGTTCTGTTTTAGTCGCAGGCTAATCCCACTGAAAATTGCGTTTTATCTCCTATTTCTTATGTATAAGGAAACCTCTGTTGTATTAGCTGACCAGGAAGTTACATAGGATGCTGACAGTGGTGGGGACTCTGGAGCTAGGAATCCAGTTGCTCAGAGAGAGAATGGACCATCAAAATTCAACCCAGACTCAGGGAATTAAAACACCATCCGGCATCCAGAATTTACAAGGTGGATACTTGTTTACACAAAACATCACAAATATGTGATTGGATTAACTTTTAGGCATTAAACATGTCTTGATGCTAAACGCTTGGTTTCTTGCACATGTGTGCTACATTGGAAGAGGAGGCAGGGAATGTTCTGTGACTGTAGCATCAAAGCCAGGACACAGGAGACAAAGCTTTCTCCTGCCCACTATGGACAGGGTTTTTAAAGGAACAACTTTAGTAGAGTGGCCGTTCCTTTGCTATTCAGGATGCTTTCAAAGGACGATTTCCCTGTGGCCACATGCCACTCTGACAAAGTCAGGGCAGGATTTAGTGGTCTCAGCATGTGTCACATGTAGAATAGTACCAAAGCCACTTCAAATTACCAAAAGATTAAATAAAAACCCATGGCTGAGTACAAATAAATGACTATAGTTACATCCTGAAAAAGAATATCCTGAAAACATTCATTTAATATAATTTAATAAATACTAAAAAATATGTTTAAGTGTGTGTGTATGTGTGTCACTGAGAATTGACCTCGGGGCCTCACACATGGTAGGCAAGCACTGTACCATGAGTCACATCGCAGCCTTGTCCAGAGAAACCCATCTGTCAATGAAGGATCCAGTAGCTTTCAATCCTCTGTGACCTTGAGAAAAGGGCAGCCTGTCTATATTCTGACCATTCCCATTGGTTTTAACTCTTGAGTATTTTATTTACAAGCTAGCATTTGCATATGCTTGTTCTCATTAGCCTGGCCAGCAGCAGGAAGCTTAAAATGCAGTCTCTAGATGTATAGAATCACAAGTTCTTTTAGATGTTTCTCGAGGACCCTGTTTTTCAGGGGACTCTGATCTGTGCTGGGACTTCCATTCCGGTCCACACACAAGATTTCCACTTATAGCCTCAGGAACTGAGACCTCTAAAGATCAGAGGACTTCATACCTGCTACCGCAGGATAGCCAGTCCATTCCCGAGGCTGATTTCAACTCTTGGGACTCAAAGTGGTTTCAAAGTTACCCAGCGGGATTCTCAGGCCTCACTCTAGAAGGGGCTTCATCATGCATGCACTTGGTGTCACTGAGTGCCTGGGTGAGGGCTTTAAACTTTCCAACCAGTGGCTAACATCGGACTTCAGCCGATGTCGATAAAGTAGGAAAACATATTTTCTTCCAGAGATCTTTGTTTTAAGTTTCAGGGGAATGAGGTTTTCATCCAATTCTTTAAAAAATGTCCTTTATTCTCAGCAGGTCAATGTCAAAATGTAATTTGATAGCTCACAGTGAACCCAAGGATAAAATGACTCATTTTAAAAGACATACTGCAAAATAAAGACAGACACTTTGTTCTTCCAGAGGGCTAGAAATATTTAACAGCCAGGTTTTTTTTTTTTTTTTTTTTACATGCTGCCAATGACGTGAAGAGAAAATCATACAGATACATATTTATCACGTGGAACAGATCCAGGGGAGAGCGGTCCTTACCAGGTCGGTGGAAGTGCTGGGGCGAGCGTGATGTAGTTGGAGTGTAACTGTGCCGGCTGTACACAGGGGAGTTGATGGAGCCCTGGCTGGTGGACCTGTGGATCATCCGATCCCGGACATCTTGATAACCCTGCAGGAAGGTGTGAGAAAGTGAGAGTCTAAATCATCTCCACACAGTTAGTGGACATTTCTAAGTAAAACCCAGTCCACAGAGGTAGCTGGGGAGTTGCCATTATAAGTATCTTTGTTCAGCATTCAGGGTTATAGTCATTAAATATTCATGAGCATGGATACTCAATGGCTAACATGTTCTGCTCACAATCAGCAGTCACTGCAGTTATTAGAATTTAAGGTATAAAATCTATAAATGCCAACAGTGCTAGAGGAGGGTCTGTGTGTCCACATCAGACCCCACAGTCACACTGGGGCTGAGATCTGGGGCTTTACTGTGTGTCCACATCAGACCCCACAGTCACACTGGGGCTGAGATCTGGGGCTTTACTGTGTGTCCACATCAGACCCCATAATGGTTTGTCTTCACTGTCAACTAAACAGATTTATAATCACCATGGAAAGCACATCTCTGGGTGTGTCTGTGAGGGTATTTCTAGGAAGATTTAAGTTTTCAAGGAAGAAGGAAAGGCCCACCCTCAATGTGGTGGCCCTGGTCACTGGGCAGAGTTCCTTGACTGAACAGCAGTGAGGCAGAGAACTGAGCCCCAGGCGTCATCTCTGTTCATCACTGGGGCGACCTTGTGGTCCTTGGTCATGACCTTCCCACCTTGAAGGACTGTCCGTCAAAATCGGCTCTCCCTCCCCCCAACCCCTGGCACGCCCTTCATTCACTCCACTGCTTTGCTGGGGTGTTTTATTACAGAAGCTAGAAAAGTACCCCAAACAGAGCCACAAATAGTAGGAACAGCAAGTCATGGACCCAAACACTGACATGCAGCAGGTGTATACAGCGTTTGCTCCAGAACCAAAGTCCCGACACTAAGCTCCTGTGTCAAGGCTGCATGGTGCTGAAGACTATGCTGGGGACATGTAAAGTTGTTGTTCCTGAAGAACAAGATAATTAACTATTTCTCAGCCTGGGAAGCAGACCAAGGAAATAATTGGAAGCACCTTTATGATACCACGGGGGCAAACCTTTGTATTGCACCCTCAACAAATTGGAGAATAACGATATTAGAATATATCACTTTCATCTAATGTAATAGTGCTGTTGAGGTATTACCTATGTCCAAACTCACAAAAAATACCTGTCTGTGCAAAGATATGATAAACAGTAGTAAAAACCAACAAGCAACCGAAAGAGTTCAAACAGTGTTTTCCACTTCGGGGATTTGCTGGACTATGAGGTTTTTGCCTGGGACAACATAGTAAGAATTTGAAGGAATGAGTTAACAGTGGCTACAGTAACAGGGTAGTAAGGGAGGCTCCTGGAACTTGTCAGCAGGCATCCAGGGGATTCTGGGTCTGTGGTAATTGGCTGTAACAAAGTAACCACCAAACCTGAATGACTGCATCCACTTTGAAGCTGGTCAAATGCAAATGCAAAAGGCTGTAAATTTCCGGGATGGATGGGTGGTGATGCTATGCACTGCTTATAGCAGTCTGTCTGAAACAACATGCCATAGACTTTCCATCTCAGATTACAGAGAACCCCAACTGTGATCAGTTTGATAAAAGTATCCAGCAAGGTTGGTGCATAGTTCAGCTGGTAGAGTGTTTGCACACAGGAAGTCCTGGGTTTCATCACCACCACTGCATAAAACAAGCATGGTGCATGCCTGTACCATGTTCAGGAGATGGAGTCAGGAGGACCAGAAGTTCAAGCTTCTGCTCTGCCACGTAGTGAGCTCAGGCCAGTCTGGGCTCCATAAGATACCATTAAACAAAACAAAACAAAACAAAACAAAAACAAACAAACAAACAAAAGGTCCAGGAACCTGGATCAGTCCAGAAGAGGTGACTACTTATGAAGTGCTTCAGCTTAGAGATTACGCTAGAATGACCTCTAATCATTCTAATTTTGTTAGAGTCTGTATCACAGAAGTGCAGACAGACAGGGGCCAAGAGACCCACACTAGACAATGGCTTCAGTTCTGCAGATGTGTCCAGGCTACTGTACCTACTAGCAGTGCAGGCTTGTATCAGGAGCAGGCCACTTTTACTCTCTTGTCCCCCTTACAAGTGTGCTGCTGTCATATGGTCCTGGCTTGAGTATAAAGTTATCCTTGCTAGCATCATAATCAATGCTTTTGTCTCTTGGTACATATATGCTTTTCAAGTACAGACATGGTCCAAGCCACTCCTAATCCACCCATGAATCCGGCCAACCAATACTTACTTCTGCAGATGGAGTTGGAGACAAAGTCCTTGGGGACTGGAAGAAGAAGAGAATTTTAGGTCAGTGCATAGGCTAACTCCTTGCTAGTTTTGAGGATGGTAAAAGTATCACTGTAAACATACAAGTCACCTTCCGTTGTTGGTTAAGTCAGTGGACAGGGGGCTGATGGGAAATCTCAGCAAGGTTCCCAGGAGCCTCAGGGATATTCCTATCCAAGAAGCATGGCTTTAAGAATATATTGTTGGACTGGTTGGAAGTACTTTCCTTACATATCTGACGGTGTTTATGATATAACTGTGTTAGGACAGCTAAGGAAATGTAAAATTTGTTCATAAGTTTTCTAACTAACTCAGAACCACAGCAATTACTGTAAGACAGTTTGATAGGCCCGTGATGACCCACACATCACATACCTCCACTGTCTGTTGTTTTGGGTCGACCTCTGTCTTCAACAGGGGAAGTGCTGTCACCCCAGGCCCTTGGCACCAGCATCTCCACCATCGCCAGTACTGTTTAGACAGCTGCAGAGCTCACTCACCTCCAGTGAAGTCTGGGTTCAAACTCACCTCACACCTCGTGATCCCCATTCACACCTTCCTTCACACCTCCCATGACTTCCCTGTTCACACTTTCCTTCACACCTCCTGTGACCCCCATTCACACCTTCCTTCACACCTCCTGTGACCCCCCATTCACGCCTTCCTTCACACCTCCCATGACTTCCCTGTTCACACTTTCCTCCACACCTCCTGTGACCCCCATTCACACCTTCCTTCACACCTCCTGTGACCCCCCATTCACGCCTTCCTTCACACCTCCTGTGACCCCCCATTCACGCCTTCCTTCACACCTCCT